TGCTATTAGCAAAAATGAGACTATTTCAGACAAATAGTAATACTTTCCAATTGGTGAACAACTAACTGTCATAAACAAAGCTGTGAAAAGAGTTTGTCTGCAGTGATCAAAGCCAAATATTGCAATATGTTTGCCTGTGTTTCAAATTTGCTTTTGAAACTCTGAAAATTCAATTTTTGGTCAAATTCAAAGCAGCCATTAACTTCATGTTTGTCGTGCATTTCTACGTCTCAAGGCCAGTCTAAACTGGAATGAAGATGATTAGAAATTAATCAAAGTGAGAGTGAACATGGGTGTCATTTTGTAGTTGTAGATATCTTGACTCTCCATATTTTGAGCATGATTACACCAAGCAATCCAATGCTTGGCACTTTTAATTATATAAATATATTTTACAAACCTTCCTGACGAAGTAGAATAATGAATCATACAGCTCATAATATTATATGTCTAAATGACAGAGACATAATTGGCATCATTTGGCTCAAACACTTGTAGACAGGAAGACAATGCAAAGGCATGCAGAGCCAACAAAGCTCTGTCTGAATAACGTTCTGTTAGGCAGCCTGGGGATCGGTCATTGTCCTCCTGTCTTTCTGCACGTCTCCTTCTGTTTAATTAAAACACTGTGATAATGTGACAGACTCAACAAAGTTGACTGCGGCCACTGATCTCTGCTGCCATAGAAAAGACTGGATAACAAAGGGCAACCTCTTAGTTATACCAAACTTTTTTTTTCTTTTCTGCCACGATTGTAATAATAATAATCCACAATCATAGCTAAGAACGCTATATCATGATAAATGAAATGAGCAGTGTACAGCATCAAAATATGAATGCATGACAGAAATGTATGACATAGATGAAATTAACATTGTTTGATGAAGAGTGCAAACAGGAGGACAATATACGGAGGAATGCTGCGCTAACAAAGCTCAGTTTGACTGATGTTCTGTAAGGCAGCCAGGAGGATCAGTCATTGTCTGTCTGTGATTGGTGGGTTGTCTCGACTTCTCCGCAGCATCACCTCCAGCAACATGGGAATTCTCCCCCGTTGCTGTTTCTCTTTGCCTGCAGAGAGAGAGAAAGGGGTTACATGAGTGACGACTAAACAAAAGCAGTACAATAGAAGTCAAATGAGTGTTTGATAAGTTATCTGACTGCAGATATCGAAGAGGATTTGAGTGTTTTGATGGTATCAACATGGAACTGTACAAATTATGAAGCTATCCAAAGGAAATAGTGTTGCTTCTGTCGACTGCTGTGTATGTGCGGTACATTGCTACATGCCCCAAACTCTCTATTGAACAGCCAACAATCACTTCGGCCAACTTTACGCACCAAAGGTAAAATCATATTGTTCTTGCAATAGTTTTGCCTACTCAGCTAGTGTGCAGCAATGTCAACAACATGTATCTAAAGTATAGTTAACTCTGAATTAATGAACATAAACTGATGTTCATGTTAGTATACTAGTTTTTCCATTAATTCATCATGAGTCATGCATTGACTATGCATAAGCTGGGCTTAAGTTATGTTCTGTTAAGATATTGTATGCCAAAAGGGAAAGTGGCGAGGTAAGACATGTGATTAAAGTGATACTACACTAAAAATCTCTATTATCTCTGTCATTATCAAACACTCACTTCTTTACACTTGAAAGTTGGTTGGTGAAAGTTAGTCGTTCCCTCCTTCAGTTCAGAGAACAGCAGTTGGGCTCAGCTTGACTTTGTCAAATACAACAGATTGCAATGGTGTAAAAATAAAAATAAAACTTACACAGCTCCTGCAGCTCTTCTCCACTGTTCACCTGCATGCTTTGTGTTCCCAATGCTTACATTTATATTTATATGCACACTATTTCTACCCTTTATCTATCTATCTATCTATCTATCTATCTATCTATCTATCTATCTATCGATCCATCTATTGAAGAGACATTTTTCCATTGTCTCTGCTCTCTGTCCGTCTCTCACCTCCTCTCACCATATCAGTTATTTTTTAAGATGAAATGTCCTCTGACCTTAGAAAGAGCCTTCATATGGGGTTGTGTGTGTTTGTCTCTCTGTGTATTTCTCGGTGGCTGGGGGTGGTTACATCCCAGACATGTTACCACGGTGACAAGGTGCTCCCTGCCGCCGTCGGGTCTCGGCCAAGTTGGGCGCCATGGTGACTGGATGGTGACAGACTTTGTGACGAGTCCGCTGGGACACCATGGTTGGGTCAACCTTAAAAACACACACATAAGCAGACACTCATGCAAGGCATGCACGTACACATGTACTTGAGCCAGGCATGTCATATAGAAATGTTAGGCAGAATGAACACACATATTTGCATATTACATGCATATACAGTATAGTATGAGAAGTACTCACACATACAGTATGCACGCTCAACGCCAACCCGCTGGATCTGTCTGTGCAAGTGTGTGTCTTTGTCTGTGTGTGCATACTGATGTGGTTGCATGCATTTCATGTGACTGTTGACATTAAATTGAACATTTGTTTTCTAAAGCAGCAGTGTGTCACGCCACCTGCTTCCCTTTTGCAGTGTAAATTATTTCAGGCTTTTATCTCAGTTATCGCCTCTAGCCAAAACATCCATTAAAACATCCACAGTGTTCATCACTGCTGGTGTGTGTGTGTGTGTGTGTGTGTGTGTGTGTGTGTGTGTGTGTGTGTGTGTGTGTGTGTACATGCTAATGACTTGCTTCTATATTGGGACTGCCTGGTCATTTATATTTCTGTGCATGTGCGCCTGCTTCTCTGTGTGTGTGTGTGCGTGTGTGTTTCACATAGACATCCATGTCAGCATACACACATGCAACAACCCTGACAAAACAAAACAAAGGCAAAAAAAAAAAAAAGACAAAAAAAAAAACGTGCATCCTAATGCAGATGTAAGACGTGCACACACATACGCACACACAAAAACCTTGACCAGGAGGACAGGAGAAGGCAAGGAGCCACAGTTTGAGCATCCTGCTGTGAGGGGTCATGACCCCTATCAGACTCTGTGTCAGTCTGCCTATTGTGCCCGAGGTAGAGCATGAACGCACACACATACACACACGCATTAACTTACATGGTCTCCATGGCAATGGTAGGGGGCGACAGTAAGGCGGCACGATGGCGCTTTGGTGTTCTGATGAGAGGACCCAACCTCATCATCATAATGCATTCACTGTATCTGAGCAAAGTCTACAGGTGTAAGAGGGCTTAAGGACAGCATAGGGGGCTCATGCAAGCAGTGTGATATGTACTGTACATTGTGTACAAATGTATATTATAGTTTGATATTTCCTTTTGATCAGCGACCAAACCCTAAATGTAAAGACTGTTGTTGTTTTTTATTTATTTTGTGAATTTTCAATAAAAATGAGGAGTAAATTGTACAAGACAGTGAGGCTGAAGATATGTTAGTGAGTGAGTGTGTGTGGGTGTGTGTGTGTGTGTGTGTGTGTGTGTGTGTGTGTGTGTGTGTG